CCCCGCCTTCCGAGGCCAGCAGATGGCACACTTCACCCCACGTTTGCACCTTCTGTTCCCTGTGTTTGTCCTCCCTGAGTCATCCTGAGGCATGGTGGGAAGCTCCTGTCGCCTGCACTCACAGGCCTTAGTTGCTGCTTGAATGACTGCCTGTCAGTTTGGTGTGTGCTGGAAGCCCAGCGTGGGTTCACTGCCTAGCAACAGCTGCTATGGAAAGGAAGGGCAGCTCTGTGAGGGAGGAGGACAGCAGGGCTTCTCCCAGAACACTGCCTGGGGCGCCTGCCTCCAGCCTGTCTCTTGGCTCCTGTTAAGCTTTGTCTCTGGCCTGGGGCTTGCCAGCTGCTGACCTGGGTCCCCTGACCCAGCTTGGGGTCAGCTTCCTGTACCCTAAAGTTAGTTTGCAGAAGGCTGTGTATTTTCCTGCATGGCGCAGCAGGGTGCCCTGACTTCCTGGGGTGGGACAGAGGACGTGAGAGGTGTTGTCTGGGCACCACTGTGGCCTTGTCAGCTGTGGAGGCATCTCCTTGTCCTGTGCTGTCCCTGCTCCATGTGGGAGGGGGCTTCTCAGAGAGCGGACCAGACAGTGTCTGCTCCACAGGGTGTGGCCCGAGGGGGAGGGGCCGGGAAGGGGATATCCCAGCCCTGCTGCCCCAGGTGTCCATGTGACCATCGCCCCATCTGTCCCGCTGAAAATGGAAGGCTACACTTCCATTGTCACTTTCAAGCGTCATGTGACTGACTCTTGAGCAGCAGGACTCACCTGAAAATGTGGCGGTTTGCACTGGTGTGTGCCCTTTAAAACACACCCCGTGCAACCCGTCGGACAGTGTGTAGAAGATCAGTGGTCAGGGCCTAGGGGCCCTGTGTGCCTGGAGCGGGTGGCCTGGTCCCTGTGCCCCCATGCTGCTCCAGGAAGTGCTGCAGCCCCTGGGGCTGCGGGGCTTTTCTAGGGGTAGGGCCACTGGATGGGTGTGTGACCAGCCTGCAGCTTGGGGGCTGCTGCCTTAGGGTGAGTGAGCATCCTCACTGAGCACCATGGGAGGTCTTGCTTAAGTCATCCTCGGAGCAGCGCTGGGGTGGTGGCGGCCAGCAAAGACCTGGCTGAGCTGCGTGTCCACAGCAGTGCCCCTGGATGGGCTCCTGCCTGGCACTCAGTACCCTGCTGTGGGGTTGGAGAAGCTGGAGGGCACATGTATGGGACCTGAAGGGCAGGCGCCCACTGCTTCCAGGAGCCAGGAGCACGTTCCCCTGTGGGTGGGGAAGGGTCTCTTCCCCGGCCTTGGCAGTGCCCAGGACTACAGTGGCCGGCTTCTCTGGACGACCATCCTTGCTGCTCCACAGCATGCACTCCCGAGGAGCATCCTCCCCTCTGTGGGTTCAGGCCATAGTGATGGGGTAACATGCACTGGAACATTTTGTTCTTTCAGCTAAAAATGGCATCAGACCCAAATGTAGCGCAGTGTTAACAGCTGTGCGCCTGGGCTGTGGGTGAGAAATGTGTCCGTGTGCTGTGCGTTCTGGTGTTCAAAAAGCATTTTCCACTTGCACAGAGGCACAGTGTGCTGGGGGCAGGGAGACCAGCTGAGCCCTGTGTCCGTGCCCAGCTGCGCCCGCCGAGAGGGGTGGTAGAGTGACCCCACGGGGGAGGGGTGCTGATCAGGTCAGGTGGTCAGCATTCCTATGTCCATGTCTGCTTCGGTTAGGGTGCAGTAGTGACACGTGTGTATGAGATGCACGTGGCAGTTCAGAACACGCCTGGAACACGAGGTTCGGTCCAGCTGCTTGTCGTCCTGGTTTCCAGCCCGCGCTCCTCTCCTCAGTTGCATAAACCACACCACAGTCACCCACAGTGCCTTAGAACGCAGGGCGTGCTCCTGCCTTCAGGATCCCTGCTAGGTCCAGGTCTGCTTTCCACTATGCCTGTACGAGACGTGGTGTCGTCCTCCTCCATCTTCCTCAGCTCTTGAGCACCGTGTCCCCAAATCATCCACTCTGCTGTAGGTAGCAGGATGTCACCCTCGCTGTGGCTGAGGGTCCTTCACAGGTGTGCATCCGCCCTTAGTCCTCTCATCTGCTTGGATACCTCCGCAGGTGCCATGCTGGCCATTGTCTGTCACGTAGCAGGGGACGTGGCCAGTGGCCAGCTGCACTTCACTAAGTGGTATGCACAGGTGCGACTGCGAGTCTCAAATTTGTTCTCATTTACGAATTTTGAGGAACCTCATTCTGGTCTGTAACAGCCGCACTGGGTTAGATTCCCCTGTACTGTGTCCGACTGTGCCAGACTGCCGTTTCTCTGCCTGCAAACAGGCATTATTACTTCCTGTCATTTTTAGCATGGCCAGTCCAGCCTGGTGAGATGACAGCTCAGTGTGGTTCCCCGGTGACAGCCATAGTGAGCGCTTTTCTTGGTACTTGGCCGTGTGTATGTTCTCTGGAGAAAGGTCTGTGGAGAGCCTTGCCTATTTCTAATGGGATCATTTGGTTGCTTTGCTTTTGAGTTCTTCGTGTATGCTGGGTACTCATCCTTTATGAGATGAACCATTTTTAAACATTTGCTCCACCTTGTAGGCTGTCTCTTCACTCACGTTTGCTCCTTTGTGCAAAAGTGTCTTAGCCTGAGATAATCCTGTTTGTGGTCCGAGGACATGTCCAGCCAGCACTGCGCCCCAGGGGTGTACACACCCGCCTGCAGCTCACTCACGGAATCGTCCACGGAGTGGGAAGCACACATAAGCTTAGCATTTGCTTCATTCCCTCTGAACGCGCAGTATCCAAGTGAGTCCGCAATAGTTGAGCCATTGACTGATGGTCCCGAGTGGACACTGGAGTTGTGTGCCTAATGCCTGGCCAGGCAGGGACTGCTGCACCAGAGGCAGCTGCAGTCCCCATCATGTGCACCCGAAGATTTAGGGTGCATGACTCGAAGCATGACCTGTTCTGCTTAGAGCTAAAGATCCCCCGAAGCCTCATGTGCATGGAGAGTGAATGGCTTATGGGTGCTGTGCTGCTCGGCGGGTTCCCTCCCTGGGTAAGTTCATACTGCATGCTGTTGGGAGGCGGGGCCTGGCCGGAGGAGGCGGGGCCTGGCCGGAGGAGGCGGGGCCTGGGGGCGGCCTGGATGGGTGTGGCTTCCTCTGCTTTCTCTGCTCTCCATTCGCATGCTGTGAGCGGCTTTGCTCAGCCTTGCCTTCTACCATGCCATTTCTGTCTGTGAGCAGCCTGCCATGGGCTAAGCCCACTAAAGCCTTGAGTCTCTAGCCCTCTCCTCCTGAGTGGTGTCAGGTGGTATGTCTCAGCTCAGGAGCGTGGACTGATACATCTCCCACACCACCGTTTCCGCTAAGCTCGTGGGAAACACAGTTCCTTTCTGGAGGAAGGGAACTCAGTGGGCTGTGCTTTGATGGTAAAGGAAGGAAGTGTAGGAAGCACTGGCTAGGCCCGTGGTGGTTAGCAGAGGGAGCACCTGAGTGTGGTCAGGGCTGGGTAGCGTGGTGACCAGCGTAGACACTGAGCTCCTTACCTGAGGAGTCCTCCAGATGGGACGCATCACCAAATGCCTGTGTACTGTGCCCACATTAGAGGAGATGTGGGACCCCCTCAAGGGGACACAGGGTAGAGAACAGAGGCTGGGTGAGGGGTGAACTGTGGGGACACGGGGCCTTTGTGCAGTGGACAGAGCTGGGCTGTGGGCGTACCCTGCTGGGGTGCTGGCTGTAGATGCAGGCTACAGTTGGTAGTTAGTTCTGCATACCCAAGACAAGGCTCTGTTTTATTGAATGATAATTCTAAGAATAATGGAGAACAGGTGTTGAAATGGTTAATAAAGCCAAGGCAGCCCTTAGATGTGTCTCATGAGGAGTTGCTGGCAGCATTTGTTACCAGGTGGGTGGAGATAATGGTTCAGCGGTTGAGAACTGCACTGTATGAACAAGGTCCTGGCTTAGATCCCCACACTGCAAAGAAATGTTGATAGATGATTATTAGGCAGTCGTGTTCTGAGTTGCAAGCATACTGCAAGGCGAAATAGAGGTGCCTAGGTGTGTGTCTCATGAGGAGCAGATTTCCCGCTCTTGTGGGCAAGTGCCCCGAAGCTTTGGGTTGTCTAGTCGGGTGAGGAAGGCATCCTCTCCGTGCATATGTGCCCTGTAATTGTGTCTTTAGCTGAGGTGCTGTGGAGGGGCAGATGGCTACAGGGTGACTTCTCAGCAGACCCTGAGCGTTGGGGATACGTGTGTTTGTGGGCCCACGGGGATGGAAACAGAGACCCTGTCTCTACCACTCTGGTCCTTCTCGTGTTTGGGACAGCACTGGCATCGGTGGGGCACAGTGCAGGATGAGCACACAGGCCCCGTGCAGAGGTGCTGATCCTGACCACAGCTGCCCTGCACCCAGCAGGCCCTCATGGCTCTGTGCCAGGCAGCAGCACTGGGGTGGCAGGAAGTGCTCGCCTGCACCCAGACACCACCAAGGGATGGGCTGTCCCTTCCCTGGCTGGCAGGGCGGGGCAGAGGGCGGTATCACCGTGGCACACAGGGTGAAAGCAGGGGCTCTGGAAAGAGACCGAGGTCAGTTTCCTGGGCACTAGGGGACCCATCTGAGCCCCACAGAAGCCATTGGGCGGTGCAGGCCGGAGTTAGCACAGTCAAACCATTTTCATGCTTCTTAAACTGAAGCTGGAAAGGCTGCAGGGAACTCAGGTGCTTGGAGACTAAGGAGTGGAGGTTTGGTTCAGATGAAGTGTCATTTCTGGGCCACTTAACCAATAGAGGTTACACAGCTCACACTTTTATGACGATGCTGACCTGGGTGGGGGGGCATTGGGCAGGGAACGTGTGCTGTTTTGTGATTTTTCTTTAACTATAATTGTTTCCAAAAGATGACAAAATGGCATTGGACCCTCATGCTCTTCTCTGCTTACTTGGTAGACAAAGCTTACCTGGGGCCTGGGCAGCTGTACCAAGACCTGCAGAACCTGCTGCATGACTTGAACGTCGTCGGCCAGATTGCTCAGCTGATCGGGAGCCTCAGAGGGAACTACCAGGTAACTGCGGCTGGCCGCCAGCACATGGCGGAGATGGTGTCTCAGCCCGGACCCTAGTGGAGCTGGGAGGATGCACTGTGACTCTTGTCACCGTGCAGCAGTGCTTTGCCTGTCTGGAGGTGGCGGCGCAGTTCAGTCAAGTTTCCTCCCTGTGCAAAGACACTGCAGGGTCTCCTCTGCTACACACACGGCTCCTTCCTTGTAATCATGTATGAGTATGACTGGATCTGCCTGGATTTTTTATAGCTGCAGCTGTGCCTTTTCTCCGCGTTAGTATTTCTAAACATTTAAAGGTGTGCGTCTGCGTTTTCTCTGCAGAACTTGAACCAGTCAGTGGCCCATGACTGGACCTCGGGCTTACAGAGACTGATTTTGAAGAAAGAGGATGAAATCAGAGCTGCCGACCGCTGCAGAATCCAGCTACAGCTTCCTGGGAAGCAGGACAAGTGAGTGCCTTGAAAAGCAGCTTTCTTGGCCAGCGCTGAGAAGAGTACGGCTCTTGGTCAGGGGCTCTCTCCGCGGTTGATGGCTCTGTCACACAGGCAGGACTCGGGACGGAGCGTGTTTCATGAAACGAGCGCTTGTCTGTGATTTCCGGCAGGTCAGGACGACCTACTTTCTTCACAGCCGTGTTCAATACGTTCACTCCCGCCATCAAAGAGGCCTGGACCAGCCACCTGCAGATGGCCAAGCTTGCGCTGGGTAAGGGGAGGCTGAAGAATGCCTGCGGGCAGGTGGGCTCCAGACAGGGCTGAGAGATGGACACACTTGTCTCTAGGAGAGGGCTTCAGAATGGGGAAATTAGCCCCAGCGCCAGTGATGTGCAGGAAGCAGGGGCTGTGGGGACCAAGCCAGGTTCCCGTGGAATCAAGACAGCTCTGTGATGTGCACTGAAGTTGTAGACACAAGGGGTCAGGCACATGGGGTCCTCCATGGTGTCTCCAAGGAGCACTCCACCTGCATGCTACCTGCCCACCACCAGGGGTGCCACTGTGCCTGTCCCCTGCGTGCCACCTGGCTGTGGGAGAGCATGCAGCAGGCTGCCTTTTCATGAAGCCCCTCCTGCCTCAGAACTAAGGCCTGCGTCATGCCAAGGGTGACATGGCTCATGGCCTGGTGACCGAGTTCCTGTGCCTTGGTCCCTTTTCGTAGATCAGCATGTGTGTGCTGCCTCACACAGCTCTCCTGCAGCACTGTGCGTGTGTGTGTGTGTGTGTGTGTGTGTGTGCACGTGCACAGGGGCATGTCCTCCTCTGTGTGCGGAGTCTGAAACCTTACAAACAGGAGCAGCGGGGGCTCATTGTGTGGGCTCCCTCATGCAGGATGGTTTGTAGCAGAGAAGAACTCTCACAGGAGAGCCTGGTTGGCTGTGTTTTGCCTGGAAGGAACCCTAGCCAGGTTCCCTTCCTCCTGCTAAGTAACTGAGTGCTTTGTAGAGTCAGGTGCATAGAGCTCAGCGGCCAGAACTGGCCCACTCTGCAGAGGGAACAGGGTGTGAACATCAGCCCCTCTGTCTAAACTCCCCACTCTTCAAAGCAAGGTGTCTGCTTGCTCTCATTGCACACGCGTCTTCACACCCTTGTGTGTTTGAGTCCCGCGGCACCACTTCGGCTGGTGTCAAATCCGTGCAGCTTGGCATCCTGGGAAAGTGAAAGAGGAGCAAGGGTGTGAGGGTGCAGTTGATACCAGAGCAGAGGGCACGCAGAGCCACAGAGGCTGGTGGGGTTGCTCGTGAGAGCCTGAGAGTCCTCACGTGTGTGACCAGGTGGCAGGGTGCCTGAGCCTAACTGGCTGTTCTCCCACCGCAGAGGAGGACAACCATCTGGGCTGGTTCTGCGTGGACGATGACGGGAATCAGACCAAGAAGGACACACACCCTCTCCTGGTGGGACACATGCCCGTGATGGTGGCCAGACAGCCAGAGTTCAAGGTGAGGGCGCTGCCTCTCTGGCTGGCCCCGGGAGGGTCCTGGTCGGAAGGCTCTGTCAGTATGGCCCTGGCTGCTGCTTCTGGAGAGGTGTTTGCGTGGAAATAGTTGGGCTTGCTGTTCAGTGCATTGGACACATAGATACTGCCTCGCTTCTGGCCTATAATATTATAAAGACCCCTGTTTTTAAGCCAGCTGTACGTTAGGTGAAAGTGCTGTCACTGTGGGCAGGACAAGTACAGCCAAGACATCCGAGTGCTGACCTCAGGAAAGTGGAACGTGGCGCAGTTCTGTCCCTCTAAAGAAAAACCCAGCAAGTTCATAATGTTGACAACAGAAGGACATTTCCACAGTGCTGGTTGGAGACCAGTGAATGTGTTTGAAGTACCGGTAATTTCTGCATCAGCTGTGGCTCACATAAGCCTGCTTGTCACTGAGCTGTGGACAGACACAGATGACATTCATTCCAGGGGTCTGTACTTGTTTTAAAACAAGTAAAAAAAAGCAAGAAAAAGTATGAAACAAAAAATATCAAGCTAGCGTTAAATTTGTGTAGCAGATACTGGCAGAGATAGAAGTAGTTAAATTCCTAATTAATAAGATTTAATTTGAATACTCACATTTGTGTAAAAACGAAAGTCGGAGGCGCTTAAGGGCACCACAGACTGCTCAGGTCGCAGAAGTGGGAGGACGAGCTTCTCAGCAGAGTGGGGAGGAGAGGCAGCGTCAGTGGAGAGGCGCGTTCCGGCGCGAGGTCTGTGTTCAGCATCCCCAACGCGTGGCGTAAACGGGTACAGACGCAAGTATTCTAAAGCATTTAAAATCAGATTTTACGTACGTACAATTTAGTGAGTAATCTTTCAAGTAAGGAGAATCCTTACAGCAGCGAAAAGGAGAAGCGCAGCCTTGTCTTGATGCCTGCTCCCCCTTCACGAGTCCGTTTCCTCCACTTAGATCGAGTGTGCAGCCTACAACCCCGAGCCTTGCCTCAGCAGCGAAGGGCACCCGGGTGCGCTTTCCTCGGCGGTGCGCGGCTTCCTGTGGGTAAGAGCCTGCTCCGCGCGCCCGCCGCTCAGCCGGGAGTTGAGTCCGCAGGCGTGCGAGGCCAGGGCTGGTGGCGCGCAGACAGGAAGCCGTCCTCCCGAGGGAGGGGCTCTCCCTGGGAAAGACGCGGACTTGTTAGGAGCTGGAACGTTCATTACTGCTGTTTTTCGTCTAAAGTTGTCATTCGGCCCGGATACAACTAAACTAATGGACTAGTTCTTCCGCTTGGTGATGGGCTTCCTGCGCTCGGCCTGCCCCCTTCCCGAGCAGTGCTGGCTCCTCACCCGGAAGCCTAGGTCAGAATGAGCTGGTCCTGCGTGGAGGCGCTCTGGAGCGCCGGGCCTCCGTGTCCGCCCCACGCCCTGCCCAGCGTGCGCCAGTGGAGCGGGCTGGTCTCTGGGGTCACGTGTGCAGGCGAGGGCGAGGGCGAGGCCAGGCCTTTGCTTTCAGCCGCGCCGTGCTCTCCCCTGGGCCAAGGCTACGCCCTGCTCCCACCCCACGCTGGCCCGACGGCAGCGCAGGGGCGTGCGACTGTGGGCACGGTTCAGGTGATGCTGAGATCCCTGCGTGGCCTGGGTAAGGTGTCACGCAGTGCGTGGCCCGGGGATTCTGTCTCGGGGGACTCCTCAGATCCACGCACATCCCGCATGTTAAATGCGGTGACTGGCATTCACTGTTCTTAGCTTTCCCTGGCTGAGGACTGTTAAACATCGGTGTTAATGTATTTCAAGTGGACATAAATTCACCCTTCAGGACTTAAATCTATGTGTGGATAGCCCCTGCCGCTCTGAGGGCGTGGGTCCTTAATGTATATGAAGGTCTCTTAAAACACGCAAGTAGGCTCTCTTACTGAGTTTGTGAACACCTGAACACACGGAGGGAGAGGCTCCTCCTGCGACGTGGCTGCGGTACTGACGCTCCAGCCTGCCTGCTCTCCAGGAGAGCCGGGCGCTCCGGAAGCTGACACGCTCACTTCCTGCCCCTCTGCCTGCACAGATCGGGAGCTGCAGCAGCCAGATGGGTCAGATCGCCATCGTCTCCTTCCAAAATTCCAACCCCAAAGTCATCGAGTGCTTCAACGTGGAGTCGCGCATCCTGTGCATGGTGCACATTCCCGCCCAGGAGCAGCGCTGGGAGCCCTGCGTGGCCTCGGATGCCACGGCCACCCGTGCTCCCGATGTGCCCACCATCTGCCTGGGCACAGAGGAGGGAAGGTAGCAGCACCCGTGTCACCCCAGGGCCACTGGGAAGGGGCACTGCACAGACCTGGACACCCTGGGCAGGGGACTTCTGGAAATACGGGAGCTGGGGGTCCCTGCAGGCCCAAGTCGGGAAGCCAGCTTGCAGGAGTTGTGCAGAAAACACGGGAAACACATCAGGAGATTTTTATTTTATTTCATTTGTATTTTAGGGAAGGATCTACAGGGTGTTTGGGGTCTCACTACTAGATCAGACTCCGCCGATAGTAGTGAGACTATCGATAGTGATCCACCTGTTTACAGCCTCCCAAGAGCTGGGATTACAGGCGTGCACCACCATGCCCAGTCTCAATTGCCGGCTCGGTGCGCCCTGGGGGCGGGGCAGCAGGCCTGGGGATCGAACCCCTGGCCCCTGTGCCTGCTTGCAGGTGCTCTAATTCACTGAGCTATTTGGCTGGTGCTAATCAGTAGATCTCTTAGGGGAAAATATTTTACTTTGTACTTTTTGCCCTGTAACGCTTGGTTGGTTGCCTTTTTGAGACATGGTCTTGTCAAGCAGTTCAGGCTGGCTGTGGACTCACTTTGTAGCCCAAGCTGACCTCAACCTCAGTGATGCTCTTGCCTTAGCCTCCCCAGTGCTGGGATTATAAGCGTGCTCCCCACCTGACCCAGATTTATTTTTTAATGATTCATTTTATTAATACTTTTCAAAACTATGTCACACATTACATGGAGTAAGACAGAGCCAAACTCCATGCTGTGATGTTGAGCAGGGACTCATGTAAAGCAAAGTTAAAATGATTTTCCCAGTATAAAGTTCCAACATCCAAAATATAAATTACTTAAATATTCTGTTACGGTAAAAGACACTGCTCTCGCTCCCCTCAGAGCCCTCCCTCCTCCCCACGCCAAGCATGTCCCGCTGTTGTGCATTCCCAGGGTGGTTCTGGGGCCGCGTCTTCATGGCTGCTCATCTCGGAGTCCTCTCGCATCCACAGGCCTTGTCAGAGGACACTGGTGTGTGCTCGTGAGTCCAGGACATGAGGCGACCACCGCCCTGTGCCTGCAGATGCTCGGGAGCGGCCCAGAGCTGCTTCAGAGCGTGGCCGCAGTGCAGGCACCATTGTGTTTGCGAGAGGGCATCTGAGGGGAGTTTAGTGGAAATGTGGCTTTTAAGGTTTTTTAAAACAAACACTTGAGCCAGCCAGATAGCTCAGAGGACTAAAGTGCCTGCTTAGACCAGCGCAGGGCCTGGGTTTGATCCCCTGTGTGCCGTGCCAGCACCACCTCCTGGGTGTGCTGAGATGGTGACTGAGGCTGGACGTGGTGGTACACACCTGTAATCCCAGTGCTTGGGAGGTTGAAAACTGGAGGATCACTGTGAGTGCAATCTGCATAGTGAGACCCTGTGACCCTGTATTGAATACACTGAAAATAAACACTCACTGTAATTTTGATCACACTGTATATAGGAAGGACTAGTTTTCTTTATAACCTAGAATTTCTATTTGAAGTACAAGAAGAGTCAGGCAGCTGCAGACAGCGGTAGAACGTGGCCACTGTGTCCCCGGTGGGAGGCAGGAGAGAGCACCAAGGGGAGCATCGGCCTCACGAGCACTGACCTGCGCCTTTTCGTTCAAAGCATTTCCATTTACAAAAGCAGCCAAGGCTCAAAGAAAGTGAGGCTGCAGCACTTCTTCGCCCCCGAGAGGTCCGCCGTCCTGAGCCTGGCATGCTCGCTGCACGGCCTGCACGCCGGCCTGGTCAACGGCTCAGTGGCCAGCTACACCAGGGCCACAGGTAAGCTGCTGGCACTGCGTACTGTCCCTGGGCCCACCCACTGTCCCCTCCCAGGAGGCCTGGCTCACTGCCGCAGCCTCCTCCTCTGACCTCTCCCACTCCCACTCCCCAAGCAGGTGCTTAGCTGCCTCCTCCACCACACCGCGCAGCCTTCCCAACTCCCGCCTGCCCCCTCCCTCCTGCAGTCTCCGACTCACCTACCGGCACGTCCTGTGGGCACCCTCAGATGTGTCCAGGGCTCCTAGTGTCCCCATCCTGCCTGGCTGCTCATGGCCTCCTCGACCTCCACGCACTCCTCTCTGTTCTTCTCCAAGCTCTAACACTGGCTGTGGCATCTTCACCCTCTGCTTAAAATTATCCAGGGAGGTCCTGGGCTCATAGTGAAAACCAGCCCTGGCCCGAGCCACCCTCCCCGAAGTCTGCATCTGTTCCTGGTGAGCCTGCCTGGTGGCCTTTGGCACCACCTCCTGGAGGGCACCCTGCACCCATGCCACAGTGGGGCCTGGAGGACGCTTCCCTTCTTCCCTCTCTGGGCTCCTCCCGGCTGCTCACGTGACCCTGGCTAGGGTCTCTGAGTGCTGACCAGTGTCTCTGGCGCCGACCCCCTCCAGCCCTGTGTCTGCACAGATCTTCGTCCTGCTGTCCCTCTGCATGAGCACCCGTGCCAATCCTTGAGGCAGCGTCCTGAGATGTCGCAGGGCACTGTCCCTTGGTCAGCCCCAGCACTGTGAATCAGCCTTTGGCAGCCTCAGAAATGTCAGCGGTTTCCTAGCTGCGTCCTGTGTTTTAGTTGGGGATGTTTTGGTCACCCAGAGAGAATAAAAAGTCTCATTTCAAGTTTTGTAATGAAAATGTCAAACTTATGCTGAGGATAAAGTACACAGAGGCTGGGGGCTGGGAGCCCAGCATGGCCCACTACAGGCAGCCCTGCAGCTCGGGGTCTCCCTGCACAGGAGGGGTGGGCGCCCGCCTGCCCAGTGCAGCTGCAACCATGAAGCTGTGGAAGGAGCTCAATAGGGCTGCCGCGTGGACTTGCTCTGCAGTTTTCCCTTCTCTTTCGCCTTTGTTGGGCTTCACTGTCACAACTTGGCGAGCGGTTTCCTCTGGTGCTCTGGGCATATTAATGATTTGAAAGTTTTGTCTGGGTCTTGGAGCTGACTTGGGGTATGGACATCCGCTTTTTCCATCACTGGATTTATTTGAGCTTTTGCATTCTTAGTGCAGTTTTCTGAGTTACATGAGCACCATCTGTCCCACCTACGCTGGTGGCGGTGTTCAGGCAGGATGCTGTCATGGTAAAGAGAGGTTGAGTGGCTGATAGGCACTTCGTACCTGTCCGCCTGCCTGCCACCTCCCTCCCTCTCTCATTTGTTCTTTCTCCTTCCTTCCTTTCTTTTCTTTCTTTCTTCCTTTCTTTCTTTTTCCCCCTCTCCCTCTCTTTCCTTCTTTCTCTTTTCCCTTCCCTCCCACCCTCCCTCCTCCCTTTCTTCCTAAAGCTTATAGGAATGTAAATGTATAGAGATTTTCATATAATCTGGATTCTAATTCCTATTATTTCATACTCTTCACTTATACTTTTCTTTCTTGAGTTTTTAGTGATTCTTTTTGATCCCCTGGGTTCAGTTGCTCCTTGCGATTCCCCTGCCAGCCTGGTGCAGAGTGCTGCCAGCCTGCTAGATCTCACAGGCCCAGGGTCTGCAGAGGCCACTGCTGCTGCCAGGGACATGGAAATCTGGAGTTGGGTCAGAAATACCCAGACTGTCAAGTCTTGGCTCAACATATCATCAGCTTTCCAGCCACTGTTTAGGCTGAGTCAAAAGGATTGCAAATTTGAGCCCAGCTTAGTGAGATTCTATCTCAAAAAACAGGAAGGGCTGAGGTGTGGCTCACTGGTAGAGGGCTGCTTGGTTTAATCCCCAGAGCTACCAGGAAACAAAAACAAGCCTAATTCATCATCTTGTACCTGGGTCCAGCTGCACTGCTGCGGTCAGGATGAGCTCGCTTGCCTGGGCACAACCCCTGGCATGGGCCGAGGTCACCCCGCTGGCCCTGATTCACATGTGCGCAGGGACTGAGGCTGCGCATCACCCACCCAGGGGACATTGCTTATGGCTCTGTGCAAAGAACATTCAAGGTGCTCAGCAAATAGAGCTTAGCTGTGTGATCCTCGGCCACAACAGTGTCTGGAGGGCAGCAGTTCATGGTGGCGGAAGACACGGAAACCCAGAGAGAGAAGCCCCTTTCTGGGCCCAACATTGTGTCCAGTCTTCCAGGGCCAGGCAGTGGACTGAGCCATTGACCACACACCTTGCTCCCAGCATCGCACTCCCAGTCAGCCACATGCTGTAGTGTCAGCTTCCTTTGACACAACCCCTGAAGAAAGCTGCATGAGGCTTTGGGGAGACATCTAGACATGAGCCACTGCGTTCTGCCTTGGTACCACGTAGACTCAGAGTCCCCTTATGCGAAAGGCATTTAGTCCATTTCCAAGAGTTGGTGAAGTCCTAACAGCTGCGGCACTGCAGAGAAGTCCGAGTCCCAAGTCTTCTCTGAAATAAAAGGCAGACTTAGCTATGAGCCCCTGTGTAGGCGAAAAGGCAGGTAAGCACTTCCAGCATTGAGTAGCGTGAGGTGGACGCTCCATTCCACAAGGCGCATACAGCAGGATAAAAGGAAGAGGACCAAAGCAAACTCCAACTCCAGCGGGAGCTGCTGCGTCCTGGCTGTCCTGCCGTCACCAGTGAGGCTGCCTCACAGAGCTGGCTTTGATCCTGGGGGCCCGGGCACCCCCAGAAGCAAGTGCTGCCATCAGAACTGTGATCCTCATTTTGTTGTTTAAAGTTATCTTTGATCCTGGATAGAAATGTTTTTTGTCTTTGATTCAGATGGATCCTGGAATGAAGAGCCTCACAAAGTGATAAAGTTAGGCGTGCTTCCGGTCAGAAGCCTGCTGGTGGCGGAGGATGCCCTGTGGGCAGCGTGCGGAGGCCAGGTGTCCACCATCAGCACCGAGACGCACACGGCCGAGGTGAGTCGTCGAGGTCCTTGCGGGAAGGTGCTGTGGACACTGCCCCGATGCTGTGTGGCGCCGAGTCTGGCCCACCTTGCTTCATGGGAATGCCGGCAGGCACTTTGCAGGCCCTGTGAGGCAGGAATCCTCCTAGATCGTGCCTGGAAGTCAGGTTACTGGGAGGCTCCACTAACCTTTTCCTCCCCACTTTCCATGGAAGTAATTGCTCACCGCTTACCCGATAAGTAGTGGACCCACTGCTTCTAAAATGCGCTTTGGAACACAGACTCCTCAGGGACACGGGGTGTGGCCTTGACACAGGGTTGCTTCACGTCAGCAGGGCTGGTGGCCAGGACAGCGCCAGCTGCTGCGGGGTAGCTGGGTGCCCACCCTTCTGGAAGCCACTGCCATGCGGTGGGTGAAAGCTGCTTCCAGGGTGCCAGATACCCAGAGGCTGCCAGGACAGGAAAAGGGAATGTATGCTGATGCTCTGGCGTTTTCGTGTCTGGTGGTATGTGCATCAGAATAGTTGGAACTTAGGCACTGTGTCTTATGACCAAGAGTTAGTGTGCTTGTTATAAGAAGGATTCTACTAAGCTTGAAGTAGGCGTCTCACCTACTAGAAAATACTGAAAGGGTCTGGAAAGGTAGCTCCCATGCATGAGGGAGGACACACAGCAGCGCACGCACATGCACACCACACGCGCGCGCGCACACACACGCACACACACACACACACACACACAGCCTTGGCCTCACCAATAGGAAAACAAGGTGTTGTTAACAAGCTCAGCACGTAGAGCGGCTTCAGGCCCACAGCACTTCAAGCAGCAGCACTGAGATGCGCACGACCAGCCCCACCACCCTGGTCCCACGGCAGTGCACCTGCTCCTGTCCCCCAGCCTGCAGGCTGTGTACCACCACCCCCTGGGCTCTGCTCGTGGCATTGCACTCTGATTTTGCACACACGTGTGAGCGCCCCGTCGACTGTTCTCACACAGCAGTGCACTGCGCTCCCATCCATGCAGCCCTGCTCCTCACCCTGGCTGCCACTGACCTGAGGCCCATCCTCCACGCTGGCAGAGGACGCAGTTGGTACTGCCCTGCGGGCAGGTGGGGACAGAGCTCTGCAGGCGGGGGACCTCAGCTGCCCCAGGACAGGCACAGTCCCGTGCCGGTTATTACCCAGAGAGCTGCCAGTACGTCCCGGTGGTGGATCTGAATGTGTTTGTGCAAGCACAGGGCTGCTGCGGCAGTGTCGCTGGGGCCAGACATGGAGAGCTGACCTGAGGGGGTGTCTCGGCGGGACCTATTTCTCAGAGCTGCCAAGCAGTGGCGGCCGCTCACCCTTGTGATGGCGCCGTGCACACTGACGTGGGCTGGCGTGCCACCGTGGCAGGGTCTGTGCTCATAGTGGTGAATGAGTAGACCTACACTTTGTCACCTTTGCGTTCTCTGCCACACAGTATAACTCTTCTGCTGTAGAGATGGCACGAGCCAGGTACCGCGCTGCCTTGTCACCGGCGCCCTGCTCTGAGTAGCCTGGGCCTCGGTGTTTTATTTTGTCATCAAAATGAATCTCTGATGCTTAGAAGTCCTGTAACTCTCACACAAAAGCGGTGGGAAGAGAGGCACAGGCGCTGGGATCCCCGTGAGCAGCACTGAGCGGCTGTGCAGGTCTGAACTCAGCCTCTGATCATCACAGACTCCTGAGAGAGTCCGTCTGCTGCTGAGTGTGTGGCGCATGAGCACAGCAGGTTGTGTGTTACCACTAGAAGCTCTAGGCGGTTCGTATCGCTGCTGTAGACCACCCTTCAGAGAAAGGCTGGGCCACCAGGGGGAGGACTTTGGGCCCTCCTGCCAAAGGTGTGTGAGTCACATCCTCACACATCTGTGGAGCTTTCAGAACACATGTGCCCTGTGCGTCACACAGGTGACACTCCAGTCCCCAGTGCAGAAGACTCTCGTGTGCACAGGGATCCAGCCCAGAGCCTGGCACATGGGCTGCATCCCAGGCCTCTGAGCGCCTGTGCGTTGTGACAGCAGGCTTGTGAGAGTGTATGTGGCTGCCATCTCCAGGCATGGAGAGCTCTGAGGGCCCTGGGGACAGCGGCCCTCAGCGGAGCTGCACGGTCCGCACCCGAGGTCCCCAGACAGCTCGGCAGCACGAGGAGCCTCAGCTCCTCAGTTTGATTAACCATCCCGCGGTGCCCAAGACCCAGCCCGTCAGGTGGCGCCAGGGAAGAGTGGACGCCTGGCCCTCGGGGGTGACTTCAGAGTGACTTCCACTCCTTCCTGTTGCATGTTTTGGATTTCTTGCCCTCTCAGTAAGAAGCTGTTGGTCAGACACAGAGCCTGGAGCCAACCCATGCTGCCAGGCTGGACAGTGCCTTAGCTGGGCAGTGCCAGGGCATGTGGTGCCTCGGCTGGACAGGGCTGTGTAGCCATAGTCTGCATCTTGTTTCTGCACCAGCCCTGAACCTCTGGTGGCGTCATTGTGCTGGTTAAGTCCCTGAAAGGGCCCAGGGTTGGAACCCAGCTCAGCCGCACCGCCGGGTGCCCAGGAGGAGCACCGCAGTGAGTGTCCTTCCTCAGGCCACGCAGGGGCAGAGGGGTGGCGCTCATCTGCCAGAGTGCAGGAGGGACGGTGCAGGCCCTCCTCTGTGGAGCTGTGGCCTTGGGGCCTCTGCTCCCAGCCCTGAGGAGTCCCTGCGCATGTCCGCTCCAGCCCAGCCCCAGTATGTGGAGCTTGGGGGATCTGGGCTCGGAGCAGCAGTACACCCAGGGCTGTAGGTTCTATCTGGGGCAGGGGTGACTCCAGAACCTGGGAAGTCCTGTGTGTGGGCGTGTCACCAGACGGGATGTTCCTGCCCCCTTTGGGTGTTCAGAGCCACACTACAACTCAGAAAGGAGGGTTCTAAATACTGTGTGGCCACATAATGCGAGTAGTCACCCAGACTGGTCTGATGTTTAGGGCAGCTTCACCCGGAGGGAGCAGGATCCAGGCCCTTGCCTGAGCACCGCTCTGCTGCCCTGTGTGTAGTTGTTAGCCGAAGCCTGCGGTGCCTGCAGCCCCAGGCCCAAGCAGAAAACCCTGGGCACAGCTGCAAGGGTGCTGGGTATGCTTTTTGAGCACGGCCCTACCCATGGGACAGTGAGTGCTGAAGGGCTTTAAATTTGAGAGCAGGGGAGCTGGGGAAATGGCTCAGTGGAATAAGCGCTTCCCTGGCAAGCACAAGGGCTTGAGTTCAATCCCCAGTTTGTCCCAACCTGCAGGTTAGTCAATGAAGGTCACCTGGGAGAGGAGCAGGGAATTGTGGAGGGGATGAAGGACAGGAGACATGAGAAATGGAGACAAGACAGGATTCTGATCAAGTCCCATTTATTCAGGGGAGGTGCTGGGTATATATAGGGGGTGTAGGAATGAGGAAGTCTCGGCTCTAGGGGGTCAGCAGGTATCTAGGCAACGGGGGAAGGTGCAACCCCTGGGGCATAGCACATGGTTCACGGGAATGGGCAAGGTGAGAAGGACCATAAACTTAACTCAGCAGGGGAATAGAAACTTAAGAAAACAGTTGACACTATTATAAAATGGATACCAGTTAATGGCTTCCCACATGGTTCAAGCAGGTTGCTACAGAGCTGGACTGTGATTGAGCTCAGCAGCCTTTTAGAGAAGGGCTGGTGGAGTGGAGGCCAGCTGGTGGCCATAGGAGCGAGGAGCCTGTGACTTGCCTGTGTGCTGTGCCTCGTGCTCAGGGTCGTGCCTTCTCCATGCAGGCTGCCTCCCTTTGCCCACTGCAGGGGTTGGGGAGCAGGTCCCCTTGGCTCACCTGCAGTGGGGACCCCTAAAAGAGGTGGCTGGGTGCTTCTCCCTGCAGACTGGGTGACTGTGGGGCCCAACAGTGGGGTCAGCAGAAGGAGAGAGGGAAGGGAGGAAAGGAGGGAGGCAGGAGCCCAACTTCCTCCAGAGATGACTGAAAATGTCACATGGCCCTGTCCTCTCCTGGCCCTGGTCCTAGCAGTGTGGCTGCTTCCAAAGGTCAGGTGGAATCATCCCTCACTGCCCCCCGCCCCCCTAGGCCAGGGGCAAGGTCACTCTGAGCCTCCAGAGTGCCGGGGCTTCTTGTTGCCAACACAGGGTAGTTGGCTGGTACCCTGGGTGCCCTGCTGTGTTGTGCTGTGCTGTGGCACTATGGAACGGCAGCTACTCCCTAGCTAGAGGTTCGTGCTGCACAGGAAAAGCCAGCCCTCTTGTGGCCACCACAGCAGCCCATGGGTCTGTGCTGTGGCCACATTTCTTGAGAGGCCCTGAGGCTGGAGACTGCAGCTTCCTAGATAGTGTCTGGAGGTCACCTCAGGAACATGAAGCACCCACGGCTCTCGTGTCACACAGTGAGACAGCTGGACAGGTCTGGAGGTCAGAGATTTTAATTTGCAGTGGGTCCTCAAGTGCAGCCAGTGTCTGAGCCCTTGAGTCTGTTGTTCGGTGCTCATCTGCTCCTGTGGACACAGTGCCACAGGTCTGCAGGCTGCTGTGACACTGCCACACTCAGCAGACTCGAGGGATATGTGGGGCAGCTGCTTCCCGGGCCTGGGCAAAGGGCTCAGTCAAGACAGGCTATCAGAGATGGCCCTGGATGTTGGCCAAGAGGGCTCAAGACAGCCGCCTGAAGACGTCTGGGTGGGAGCAGCATGGCTTGTGCCCTGGCCGAGGGCCCGGCCAGGGGCAGCTCAGGGCCAGTCTGTGGCCACTGGGCAAGAAGAGTGCACTGGCGTGAAGGATGCTGTCCACCTGCAAGACCCCTGAGGCCACAGCAGGTCCACCAGCGTCACTGAACAAGAGGGCAGGGCCAAATCAGCTTGCTCCTCTATACTAGCAGTGCGCGCTGGGGTGAGTTGAGGACAGTCCTGCAGCTCTGTCCTGCTTCGCAGCCTGCCACAGCTGCCCTCCTCTTCTGCACTCCTGCAGCTGAAGAAGGAGCCACGGTGGGCCAGGCTGGAACACTTGCCTTCAGTGGTCATGGCGGGCATCGCACAGGGTGGGCTTGGGTGCACTGGGGCCTGGCAGCCACAGTGGGGGGCAGGGGCATGGGCTCCAGTGGTGCCAGATGTGTGGGCTATATCCTACGTTGTGCTGCAGTCCACGTTCTGGGGTGTGTGTCACGTGCTTCTCGACACCCACTGCGTAAAGGAGAGATTCTCTTGGTGCATCACTCCAGTCCACGGTCGGCTGGCTTCACGCAGAGGGGCATGGCAGTGCCAACCCATGGCAGCCAGCCAGCAAGCAGGCAGGAGGGCTGGGAATGACAGTGCACCCTCCCAGGCCACACCAGGGGCCACTTCTGACAGCCCCACTGCTGCCGGCGCACTTGGCCTGTGCTCACCTGGGGGAACCCATTAGGAGCTCAGCGCCGGTAGTCCAGCCACGCTTCATGCACATGTGGACTGAGCCACCCGGGGTTAGGCTGAGCTATCTCAGGTTGTGCAGGATGGGAAAAAGCCTTGGACTCCTGGGGTGCTGTGGCGCTGAAAGGCTGCCCTAGTGCTGGGCTGTGACCCACGTGCAGGACAGTGGGTGGTGGGGGAAGTGTGGGTGCTGGCAGGTGGACTCCCAGGGTGCAGGGCGGCACCTGGGGCCCAGCCTGGGACACAGTTCACAGTTCTGGGGAGGTCTGAGGGTCTGGGAAAGCCTGACCTCCGGTTCACTGTCACCCCCTTCCTCCTGTACCCAGCTGCCTGGACAGGTGCGCTCCACGGCAGCCACAGGACCCAGCCTCCCCCAGGGCAGGGTTACCTTCCTGAGCCCTTGGAAGTGCTGCTGGATTGGGAAGGCCCAGAGGGTGCTATGGACCCCACTGTCCTGCAGTGCGGCCTCATCCTGTCCCTGCACTGAGTTGGCCACAGCAGGACCCTGCACCCCATGCATTTACCTAGCAAGTAGCTGCCATGCATGCCCTGCCCAGGACTGCTGGCTCTCGCTGCCCTCTGACCTGGGCTCTTCTCTCTCCAGGGCCAGCTGGAGGCACACCAGGAGGAGGGGATGGTCATCTCCCACATGGCCGTGGCCGGTGTTGGGCTTTGGCTTGCCTTTACTACGGGGTCCACTCTCCGCCTCTTCCACACGGAGACGCTGAAGCACCTGCAGGATGTCAACATTGCTGCGCCTGTGCACAGCATGCTGCCAGGTATAGGGTAGGACGCCATGTACCACCAGCAGCAGGTTAGGGCCCAGGCACAGGAGTGGGGACTGCTGTGTGCCGCCAGGGCTGGGGTGGAAGTCTGCAGTGGAGGTGGGTGAGGCTCCCAGCCCCAGTGCAAGCGTCCAGAGTGCCCTTATCAGAGCAGGGCCACCGTCCCAGCCCTCCTGGGGAAAGCAGGCAGTCAGGGTAATGTGTGTCCACACAGCAGAGCAGGTCCCCATTTGTGTCCATGCCGAGAGCACAAGAGGAGGGTCCCGAGGAGGCAGCATCTCAGCTGGGCTCATGGTGAACTGGGTGGGAGTCAGGCACCGGAAGGATGGGAGGAAGCAGCACAGACACAGAGCCCCTGTGGGCACACAGACCTTGTCCCATGGATGCCCAGGGTCCTGTGGCTTTGTTTTCAGCTGTCCAGTGCCACGTACTGTGATGCCACTGCAGACAGCTGGTCAGCCTCAGAGGCAGCATCGTTGGGCTTGGTCTCATCCGGGTCAAACTTGTTCTTAGGAGATGGATCCTCCTGAGCAAGGGTGGCTTTGTGTATGTGTACACGTGTGGGTGTGTGCTGTGGGGGGG